GCGCATTTACAGGGCCAGGGCGCGCAAGGACAGGGCCAGCAGCGCGCCCAAGACGCAAACGAGATACCTATAGTGCGCAACCGAAGGCCAAGCAGCGCGAGCGCGGGGGCGGGACCGGGGCACAGGACCGACAGCTCAGAGCAGCCGGCACTGCCAGGCTCTGCAGCGGGCCAAGGCTCACAGCAGCTTGCGCTGCCGGCCGCTGAGGGGCAAGACCCACAGCAGCTGGCGCTGCCTGCCCCGCAAGCTGAGGCCGCAGCCGTGGAGGAAGACATGCAGAGGAAATTCCCGACCGCGCAGGAGACGGGGGCTCCGCAACAGGAAGGGGGACCGAAGGGTTCCGCCGCGCAACAAATGCGGGAGGCCTTGGCGGAGCATCTCCGCAACCGAGAGGGCAAAGACAAAGCCCCACATCCACAGAAGCGTCCGTCCGCCAAAGCGGCGACGCGCAAGAAACCTGCGGCGAGCGGCCAAGAGACGTGCAAGAAACCGGCCGCGAGCGGAGTTGGTCTTCAGGCGCAGCAGGCAAAGCGGGGATACACCACCATGTGGTATGGGAGCGCGCACAAATGTGCCATCAGACAAAAAGGGGGCCGTCAGCTGTGCCAGTTTGGGCAGAAGCGCTACACCCGGCAGAAGCTGGAAGCGCATGCCTGGCGTGTGATTGGGCAGATAGAAGCGGGGGAGATCCGCGAAGCGGACGTGAAGGAGGCTTGCGAGGCCTTGCGTCCCTAATAGGATTTGACGGGCAGACTGCGGCAGGCCCAAAAAAAAAGATATGCACATATAGATACAATAGACGCTTCGACGGTCTTTTTTTTCCCCTTTTTTTTTCCAGCGCGCGCTTGCGTGCACTTTGCGGCGCAACATTCCTATAGGCTCAAGGCGACGCCTTCACCCGCGCGGCGTCCGCGGCGCAGAGGCTGGGAGCTTGGAACTTCATGTTTGGGTCATATATATATGTATATAATTTTTTAAGTGGGATGCTTTCGTCGGCGCGCGCGGGCGACGTTTATATGCGTGGATCCAACGCGGGTGACGCGTGGTTCTATCCGGCGCACGGACCCGTGCAGGAAAGACGTTGGTTCTACGGATCCAACGCGGGTCACGCGTGGTTCTCCGGATGCCACGGACCCATGCCTGACGTTGGTTCTACGGATCCAACGCGGGTCACGTGTGGTTCTACGGATCCCACGGACCCATGCATGAGAGACGTTGGTTCCACGGATCCAACGCGGGTCACGTGTGGTTCTACGGATCCCACGGACCCATGCATGAGAGACGTTGGTTCTACGGATCCAACGCGGGTCACGTTTGGTTCTACGGATCCAACGGGCCCATGCATGAAAGACGTTGGTGCTATACGGATGCAACGCGGGTCACGTTTGGTTCTACGGATCCAACGGACCCATGCGTGAAAGACGTTGGTGCTACGGATCCAACGCGGGTCACGCGTGGTTCTACGGATCCAACGGACCCATGCATGGAAGACGTATACGGATCCAACGGGGATCTACGGACCCCATATATATATGATATATAGTGTCGTTTAGACGCGTAAGACGCCGCGCGCGCGTGCGCTTTTCTTTTTCCGCTTGGTTGCAGGTGCCATGGCCACCCGCCAGAAGGACGACCGGGAGAAGGAGAAGAAGGACAAGGAACGACGAGGCCGGCGCTCGCGCGGAAGGAGCCGAGACCGAGATCGGCGGCGCAGGCGTTCCAGGACCCGGAGCCGCGCCCCCGCGTCCGCTCCGGACAACGCCGCAGCGCTGGCGCCGAAGGAGGCTGCGGAGCACGAGAGAGACCCGCGCGACCCACGGAAAGACAGCCTGAGAGCGAAGCTGAGTCTCCGGGCTGAAGTGGAGGACAGAAGCGAAGGCACCGGCGCTGCTGGGAGCAGCGACGCAGACTCAGAGGCCAGTGAGTCCGAGGCGGGAACGAAAGAGGCAGACGAGAGCATCGACGAGCCCGTGGAGGTGGACGACGACGAGGAGGAGAAGACTGAGAAGACCGCCAAGCAGGCGGCGCGACCGAAATCGCCGCCCGGGCCCCCGCCTAAGGGCGCGGGCAAGACTCCGCCCACGGGCAAGTCAGGGAAGGTGAGGGCGGCGGCGAAGTCGCCCACGGTCGACTGTCCCATTTGCTGGCGCAAAGTGGGAGGGGGCGTCAGCGGCATGGCGCAGCACCAGGCCTGCGCTTTCCACTTGACGTGGAAGCGCTACAGGGCGATGCCGGAGAGCTCCGCGGACTGGGACCGCGCGGTGGAGCTCGGGGAGGCAGAAGCCACGAGGCTCTGGCACGCGCATGGCCGGGGGGACGCATCTGGACAAGCTGCTCTGCCGGACGCGCCCGCCGCAGAGACGACGCCTCCGAACCAGAAGACCAGGGTCCCGGCCAAGGCCAAAAAGGGCGCCAAGAAAAAGTCCCAGAAGAAGTTGCTCCCTGTTCCGCACGCGGACAGACCAGGCAAAGTTGGAGACGAGCGGCGCCCGCCGTCTCCCGACCCGGAGGGAGACAGCGGCACTTCTGGGCTGGTCCGAGCCATGTGGCAGGACGCCTTGGCGGCTTTGACGCGGGCGCGGTAGGCCGCCGCGCGCGGCAGAGGTCGGGGGGCGTAGAGCTCTAGACCGGATCGGGGCGCCACCAGAGAGCGGCCGCCGCAGGACGACGCCGACAGGAGAAAAAGCGCGCCTACACACAGGAGGGGCGGGGGCGTGTTTCTATATATACAACAAATGTATTTTTTCCGGACGCCCCCAAATAGGTTCTCGGCGCGCGCAACACGCCTATATATACATATTATATATATATATTAATAGATAAATAAGAGTTTTTGGGGAAGGGGCTTGCGCGCGGTTCGGCGCATCGACAAAACAAAGAGAACCGTTGGCGCGCTTTCGGTTCGAGCGGCCGTATACGAGGGCGGTTATATATATATATATAGACGGCGCGGACCGACGCGGCCATGGGGGAGCGGACCACGGAAGAATTGGACATCCCATGTGGCGCTTGGCACATGTGGTGTGACTGTCTGCGGACAGTGGGCGGCTCTTGGCTGTTCGTCGCCGTCTCTCTGCGGTACGCCGCCGGGGCGACCACGGACGGGCAGAGGCGCTCCGCGTGCTGGGCCGTGCGCGGTCTCCTGTGCTTAGGCGTGGCAGACACAACCACACGCAGGAGAGGGCGACCCAGGAGCGCACGCGAATAGAATACGTTTTGCTTTCGGAAGAAACCTGGCCAGAGTTGATCGCCAAAGGCGAGTTGGGCGTGGTCGGCCTAACTATGTCTACGCAGCGCTTGGAGCTTCTTGGGGAACGCCTACGTTCCGGAGGGATGGACCGGACAGTTTTGGATTTGGTGGAAACGGCCACATCCGCGACCCGAGACGTTGCGCGGTCTTGCGCCGAGCACAACGCCAGGCAGCAGACTTGACCCAGACGAGCGACCAAAACGCTGGGGGGGGCGATGTACGCGTTTTGTACGCGGTTTGTGCGCGGACGGCCACGGTTCTATAGTTCTTGTAGTGCTGCAATAAGAACGAAAAGGTGGGGAGATGTACGCGGCTGTGCGCGGGATGTACGCGGCGCGTCTTGTTTTTTGGGGGGATTTCGAGGTGTTGCGTTTCCGCGCGCCCCTGCAGCTTTTGGCTCTCTGTGTTTTTTTTTTGGCGCTCCCTTTCTGACTTCGTTTGTTTGGGTGGCGCGATGGCGGAGGCGATCGTGGCGGCTGAGGTGGCGGAGGCGCCGCAGCGAGTGTGCACGTGCTGTGGGAAAGTGGTCCCAGAAGGCCAGCACCTACGGGCGCATGGGCGACAGACTTTCTGCGGTCCTTGCAACAGCATAGACGTGATGGTCCGGCGCAACGTTGGATCTTGGCCAGAGCTGAGTCAAAGTGAGAAGCACCTATTCTTCACTAAGGCGCAGCAAGCCAAGGACGACAATGGCCGTTGCGCCTGGAAAGTGATCCGCGCGCTACTGAAGGAGACCATGGTGGTCAAGAAGATCTCCACACAAACCACGGAAGTCAAGGCTCCGTACAAGCCCAAAGAATATTGGTTGTCCCAGGGTTACCCCGAAGACAAGGTGCTGCAATGTCCTTGCGAAGACGATCCGCTTCTGGGTCGCCTGTATCAAGTCCACACCAAGACTGTGAGCCGCACGGAGGTCTACGAGGAAATAGAAGAGCAGCTTCTGCTCCGCGAGCAAGAAGTCCAACGCAAGAAGGGCAACAAGGGGAATTCTGCGCAAGAAGGCGACGACAAGACATGGGTTGCGCCGGTGGAGCAGACGGCCAAAGGCGCCGGAGGCGCGAAGGGATCCGCTCGCAGTGAAGAGGCAGCGGCAAAGCGAGAGCAGGCCAAACGCGCGCGGCAGAACGCGGCGGCCTCCACCCTGGCTGCCAAGGCAGTCTCGCAGATCCAACCCAAGTTGGATCAAGTCACCAAGTTGCTCAAGAGCAGCGGCGACAAGGTGACCTCCGAGCACCGCGAGAGCCTGGAGGCTTGCCAAACTCAGATGTCCGCTTGGCTGAGCACCAGTCGTCAGGTGGTGACCGGGTATGGGGCCGACGCGACCGCGTGTTTGCCAGCTCTGCCTTACACGGCCGCGGACCTCTAAGCAGCGGTGACTGCGACTGGTTCCACGCTGAAGGTTGCAAAGGACGACGTGAGGGCGGCGAAGCCTGCCGCAAAGCCTGCCGCCAAAAAGGCACCCAAGGCGGATGCAGCAGAGGGTCCTGCGAAACGCCGCAGGACCGGCAAGCAAAGTTGAGCTGTACATATATATAGCTCGCAGATTTTGAGACGCGTTGGGTCTGTACGACACCCAGGAGTTTGAGGCGCGACGACGCGCAAAAGTCGCAGGCCCGAAGTTTGTATATATATATATATATATTAAAAGGTCATGTATATATGTTCGTTTCAGTGTATATATGCCTTGGCCGTCCTGTGAGCTTTTTTTTTGGCTCTCAGCTTTCGGACGCGGGCGAGCGCAAGAACAGCCATGTCGCTGAGGTCGAAAGAGAAGCAGCTGCGGCTGTTGCGGGAGAAGCTGTTGTTGCGGCCCGAGGGTCGCGACGACGTGATCTCCGTGCGTGCTTGCTGCAAGGCTGTTTTGCAGAAGTGTGGTATCCAGCACTGCACGATACCCCTGTGGACCATGGCCACTGCTTGCGAAGGGTTCTTCTGCGAAAAGGAGAAGCCCCCGGCCGGATGGAAGGAGATAGATCCAGCACAGCTACCATCTCCGAAGTCCTGGCGCTGGGTGTTGCTCATGGAGCCGCAAGAGAAGCGGACATTGGCGCGCCAAGTGGATGCAGCCATGGGCGTGGTGCACGACCTGATCCACGAGAACGGAGCCTTAGAGTCAGATGCCCCTGTCCGGCAGCTTCTGACGGAAGTCTTGTTCACGTTAGACAACGTGGGACTCCTCACCTCGGAGGTTTACCGCCTCGATAGCTGCCTTGGATTCTTGGGGCCGCTATAGGCCGCGCTGTGCTGCTCTGTGGAGACCAATATATATAACGGGCTGTGTACATATACACAGCCGAGGTCTGCAAGGAAAAAAAACCGCGCGGAAGATTGGGGAACAACAACAGAACGCGTCGATGGTGTATATATATATATATTATATTATATAGGTTTGTTTAGTTCTTGTAGGGCATGCGCCATGTGTATAATATGTATAATATATTCGTGCGTGGGCCATCTTTTCTGTTCGAGGTTGTGGTCAGGGGCTCGATCACAGCCGGGAGAGCACGCATGAAGCGACGCAGTGCGGCGCGCGAGAACAGGGACAAGAGGTTGCTCGAAGCCATGACTGCAGGAGGCTTGTCTGCGCGGGCCGCGCATAAGGTGTGGAACATTTTCCGCCCGAACAAAAGAGACCAAGTTGGATGGTCCACAGTACAGAGGCGCATCAGGCAAGAGACCACGCCGTTCCGGGACTGCTTCGATGTGGTTCAACTACCAGGCAGCAGCGCCTCTATGTGCGTGGCGAATCTGCCGAAAGTCCTGCGCATGGTGGCGGACAAGAGCCCAGCGCTGACGCAGTATCTGTTGGACGGCTCTGAGCGGCAGCCGCTGCAGCCCGTTCTCTACCACGACGACGCGCAAGCTGGCAACATCCTGTCTTGGCACAAGAGAAAAAAGGCGACCCTCTTTGCGTTGAGCTTCGATGCCTGGCTGCCACTTTGGGGCACAGAAGGAACTTGGCTGCCTGTTGGCTTTTTGGCCAAAAGCGAGTTGGACAAATCGCTTGGGCTTGGAAGTGCTGTAGCTACGGCTCTGAAGCACGTGCACAATGCCTGCATGGGTGGCGTAGACGTGGGGGGACGGACTGAGCTCCGCATCGCCTCGCAGTGGCGCATGCTCTGCGACGGAGACGCCGTGCGGGCTTCTTTCGATCTGAAAGGAGCAGCTGGCCTCCGTTGCTGCTATCGGTGCAGCAACGTGCTCAAGCTCGGCGCCGGCGTTTCCGACGAGGCGTTTGTGGAGATCAGCTCGTTCCGAAAAGACGTCTTTGTCCGGGTCACCGACGCCGACCTCTTTCTGCAGGCTGACACTCTGTCAGAATTGAAGAAGAAAAAAGACATCGAGGTGTACGAAAAGAGCGCGGGCATTCGCAAGGCGCCCGCCGGTATGTTAACAGACCGCCTGGCGCGCTTGCTCCTCCCACCCAGCCGCTCTGTTGTGGATGTGATGCACTTATACTTCTGCAACGGTTGTGCCAGCTGGGAGCTCGCCCTGTGCTGGAACGCCGTACAAGAGCAGCTGCCTGCCTTGACCCTGGAGTCGTTGCGGGAGTGCTGCGAAGCCAGGGCATGGCGCAGACCGGGCCAAGTCAGTCTAAGACAAACAGGGTTCAAGGATCTGTTTGACGGGCGCAGTTGGCACAAGGACGAATTCTGTGGCACAGCCACCTATACACGAATCATGGTGCCCCTCTTGCAGTACTACTTGGAAACATTCGTGGCGCGCAGAAACCTCTGTGCCAAAGAGCTGGAATCATTCAAACTCTTGGCCTGGGTTTGCAGGGAAATCAACTGGCAGAGGCATCGCTGGAGACGCATTGAGCAGCACTCAGAAGTTGCTGCGCTGGAGGCACTGTCATACGCGCACCAAAAAGCCTTCGTAGAATGCTATGGCTCGGAAGCATGCAAGCCAAAGCACCACTGGCGGCTGCACGTGGCTGAGTGGTCGCTCGCGTTGAGCGCTCTCCCTTTCTGCGATACCCACGAAGCCAAGCATCGTTGCTACAAGTCTGGGGGCGCAGCGGGGCGCGGGGCACACTTAGTCCATAAGCCACATATACAGAGCCTCAATATAGTGGGCCACCTGTGGCGGCACAGCGTAGCTCGGATGGAACAGACAGACATGACTCCGTGGAAATTGCATGACCCAGTCCACCATGCCGAGCGCAGTCTGCGAGATGCCATGGACCTCAAGATCCTGCAAGCATCCAAGGGTCTAAGGATCTTTGGCCTCGATGTCTACCACGGTGACATCATATTGCTGGACGCAGGAGCGTGAGCGGGCCTCGTGCAGCGCGGACTGGCGTCTGAAGAGAGAGTTTGGATTGAATTTTTAGACATGCAATTGCTCTCCAGTCATTCTTTTGGGGCTGTGTACAGGCGGACAACGCAACGCTGCCTGTGGGAAGTAGACCTCTCTGAGTCCATCGCCATGCCCACATGGCAAAGCAACGATGGAACGTCCACAATTTGTCTCTTTTGACAGCGTGAGCCAAGAAAAAAAGCTGCTCCCGCGCGCAAAACCATGTCTCTCCATGAAAACCATGAAAATCAACCATGTAGAACTTGTCCTAGTTAGCGGACTTATAACTCAACTTCTTACAACTAGGCTAACTAGACTTAGCGGACTTAACAAGTTAACTAGGCTAAGTCTACTTATAAGTCAGACGGCCTCCTAGCAGCCGATCTGGCCGATCTGGCCGATCAAGCCGATTAGGCCGATCAAGCCGATGATCAGGCCGATCCGCCCGATCTGGCCGATCAGGCCGATCAGGCCGATCAGGCCGATCAAGCCGATCAGGCCGATCCGGCCGATCAGGCCGATTAGGCCCCGATCAGGCCGACCCAGCCGATCATGCCGATCAAGTCGATCACGCCGATTAGGTCGATCAGTATAGGCCGATCAGGCAGATCAAGCCGATCAAGCCGATCAGGCCGATCAAGCCGATCAAGCCGATCACGCCGATCAAGCCGACCAAGCCGATCAAGCCGATCTGGCCGCTCAGGCCGATCAAGCCGATCAAGCCGATCAGGCCGATCAAGCCGATCAAGCCGATCTGGCCGATCAGGCCGATCAAGCCGATCAGGCCGATCAGGTCGATCAAGCCGATCAAAGCCGACCAGGCCGATCAAGCCGATCAAGCCGATCAGGCCGATCAAGCCGATCAAGCCGATGGGCCCGATCCAGCCGATCAGGCCGATCAAGCGGATCAGGTCGATCAAGCCGATCAGGCCGATCAGGCCGATCGATCAGGCCGATCAAGCCGATCAAGCCGATCAGGCCGATCAAGCCGATCAAGCCGATCAGGCCGATCCAGTTTTCTTGATTCAATTTCCAATTCTGCTGAAATTTAGACGCTAATTCAATTCTATTTAAATTTCAATAAAGTTCTAATTTTAATTCAACTTTCATTCACTTCTAATATTGACTTACTCTTATGACACTTCTAGTTCGGTTCAAATTTTACTTATATTCTCAACCCAATTGAAATCAAATTAAGTTCTAATTCTAATCAAATGTTAAATTGATTTCCAATTAATATAATTTTACATTCCAATTAAATTCTACTTGTCATTAAATTTTAAGTCAATTCTAATTTCAATCAAATCATGATTAAATTTTCATTCTCGTGAAAATTTAAATAGATTCTAATTCTAATTAAATCCTAACTGAGTTCTATTTCTAACAACAGTAGCGCATGCCAAGCCTTTGAAGTGTGATAAGCTCATTGAATATGTTGAGATGAAGTTCGCCCACATGTATATGGCAGTTAGACTCCCCGAGATTTTCCGCTTGACGGAATGGGTGAGGCCCTGCTCTTTGCAACGTTTACACCTTGTAGATAAGAACTTTACATTGCGCTGGAGTTTTCGGCCATACGGCCTGTCACACAAACCCTGGAACGGTCGAATTCCATTTAAAGTGGCCTTTGAATCCGGTCAATTCATTCTTACTTGACAACCAATGACATGTTGAAAGTACTTTTGAATATGTGTGGCCCTGTGTGGCTTATCAAACCGTCAAGCATCTCCTAGAAAGAAACACTTCAATTGTTTTTGAACCATGCTGCCACCAACGGTCTTTGGCAACTGCGCTTTTGACGGAGTGTTCCACGGGGGAGTTTGGCGCGTTCAAACCCGTCCCAAGTCGTTTCTTTCCATCTTGTTTGACGTGAATATTGAACCGTGTTGTGAGCTTCGTGGCTGCCATCCTGGACAGCGTTGAGCCAATGCACTTTTGCTCAGAGCTACAACATACGATGGTGCAACTCCAACTCGATTTCATTTTTTCTTCTCCAAGCAGAGGACAGACACTCACGTTTTCTGGTCATCCCAGATCCAGTTTTTTTTGGCGACATATTTGGAAAAGTAACCATAGGTCATAGGTAGTCACAACAGCAAGGTAAGGGGTTTCAGGGAGCTATATGAGAGCGCTCTCGCCGCCGGACAAAATCCAGTAAAAACATCAAAGTAGCACAAGTGCAGACATCTCAGCACTCGTCCGGCAGATCCTGTGCTTCGCGTATGGTCCCAGGCGCAATGGGTGTGCGCCCGTCCGGACATCACATGAGCAAGTCATTCTCCAATAGAAAGAACACTAGAAATGATATCCGGACAAGGGGCAAGGTCTACAACGATCCTCATTTTGCCCCTATTTGGGCTCAAAGTAAATAATACTCTGCCCGTGAAATGATGTCATGAACATGAAATCATGAAGCGCACATGAAATGATGTCGTGCGCGTGACATGATGTCACGCGCATGAAACGATCTCATGCGCATGAAATACTAGCATCCAATGTGACCGCACGCAGTGCGGCGACTTGCGGTGCGGTCACGTGCAGTCACTTGCGCCAGCGGACAGTGGTGGTCACTTGCTGTCACCTGCTCCAGCACGCGGCGGCGGTCACTTCGGTCACGTGCTCCAGCAGTCTCTTAAAAAGTCAATTACTGTGGTCACTGGTGGTACGGTCACTTGCACTCGCTGCCGTCACTTGCGGTCACTTGCTCCAACGAGCAGTGGCGGTTACTTGCTGCAGTCACTTGCGGCCACTCGCTCTTGCGGTGGGGTGACGTGCGGTCACTTGCTCCAGCGGGCAGTGGCGGTTACTTG